TTTGCATCTGTTTTATGGATTCCATTTGTTTCCTATGTTGGGATTCCATCATGTTCCTCAGACCCTCTATTTTTTATCTGTGTCCTCTCTATATTTATTAATCATGTCTTGCACTAGGAGCACAATCTCTGCTGTTATCTGAGAAATTATTTCTGATTTCATTTTTTTCAGATCCCCTTTTGTTGACAGTTCAGTGGTTCCAGGTGGTGAGTATCAGAGTGTTCCATATCATTTCCCTTTGAGTTTGCTGTAGGTGATCTGGAAGTCTGGTTTTGAGACTTATTTACGTGTTTTCTCATTTTGACTGGCGGTGTTTGGGGGAGGGTTGCTGTTGGTGCCCACTCGGCTGACCTCCTCTGAACTGGGAGAGATGGGACAGGGGCTGGGAGGGGCGGGATGGTCAGTGGCCTGGAAGCCCCTACCTCTGGGCTGGGAGTGGTGGGACAGCGGCTCACAAGCCCCTTCCTCTGGGCCAGGAGCAGCGGGACCAGGTGAGAATATTTTTAAAACAAATGTTTGCAATAATTCTAATCACTTTCTGAATGTATTGCTAAAATCAGTATTTGTTCAACCTCATGAAAAAATCACACATCTATAAGCTTTCATCTTTTGGAAATATAATTTTAAAAATTTTGCAATAATCTTATCAATCTAGAATTTCAGCAGATTTTGGATGACTTTTGAAAACTACAATGAGCTATTTTTCAAGTCATTTTGTAAGTAAAACTGAGTCACATCAGGCATGATAGGAATTTTCAAGCCTCATTTTATTAATGCAATAAATGAAATGGAAAAATTAATATCATGATTCATCAGGTGCACTTAGTAGTTAACATATCCTCGTTTTACTGATGACAAGAAGGAGAGTTACAGAATTTATTTTGATCATGTCACCAGCTCCTAAGTGGTAGAACTCAGACTCAATGTAGACTATCTGGCTCTCATTCCAGGACTTTCCACTGAAGCAGGGGAACAAACAACAAAACTCCAAAATCGAAAAGAGAATAAAGCCACAAAACCATTACATCAGTCAAAAGTGCTTTTCTTTTCATTTCCACTTATAGGTTAGGTGAAAAATTACTTCTGAAGATACATTTAGGTAGTCTGACATTGTTGACATTGCATAACACCCTAAGTAAAAAGACATCTGCAGTGCTGTATTCATATGCACCCTTACTGTATCTACTTAGTGAGCAAAAAAGAGTGCTCTAGAGTATCTACCTCACACCCAAATCAACCACTGCTTCAAATGGTACTACATGAAATGTTGATAGGGTACAGTAAGTTCATAGTTATAAAACTCTGATATGATTTTTCCAAACCAGCAAAAAATAAGAAAAAACATGTCAGCTGAGATAACAATCATTGTTATCAAAAGATAACAATCTGTAGAGTAGGTTTCTGGGTCAACCTACAACTAGTCCCAGCACAGCGGAGGTGACCCACATGGACACCAGCAGGACTCTGGCCCCCTGCCCGGTCAAAATGAGAAGACGCATAAACAAGCCTCAGAAACAGACTTCCAGATCACCTATAGCAACTACAAAGGGAAAGGAGATGGAACACTCTGATACTCAACCACCTGGACTCCCTGAACTAGCAACAAAAGAGGATCTGGAAAAAATGAAATCAGAAATAGATTCTCACATAACAGCAGAGATTATGCCCATAGTGCAAGACATGATTAATAAATCTGGAGAGGACACAGATAAAAAAATAGAGGATCTGAGGAACATGATGGAATCCCAACATAGGAAACAAATGGAATTCATAAAACAGATGC